TGATAATATAGGCTTAAAAATCCGTTACTTATCTTATTAAATGTAGTTACTTTGTCTTGTTTAATGAAATTCAATAGAGTTAACGAAATCCTTGCCGATAATACTTATCGATGTTTTTTCTACTTATATATGTTTACAACAGTGAAAGTCGCTGACAACAGATGATTATCAAATAATTATTAATGTACAGGTTTTCAACTAACTCTATATTAAAATGGTGACTGCTTTTAGCATAAAACTTGTGTAATGGCGTCCGAAGCAAATTGATTATGACATCAATAATTTGTGGTATGGTATTCTTTAATGTAATTTAAAGTTTGTAAAATTCTAATTGCACCTATAGATATTGTTGAAATTGGCATAATGTTTTGGCAGCGTATTTATTTTCTCTATTACGAAGACTAAATTAAATTTATTAAACTTAACAATAAATTATTTGCATAGTTATATCCTTTATATTTTGTAGTTATCTACTCCAGTTTTTCCTACTCATTGGACATTTTTGAACCTCTCGAATGAATCACACATACCTAATGGTAAATTTTTGTAACATTAGAAAGTTTCACTTACTGAAAAGAAATTACAAGCTTTATGGTCATAAATGAACCGTTGCATTTTATATACATTATAATTTAATTTATAATCTTCTTAGTCTTATTTTCTTTTTACAATGATTGTAATGCATGTTTTTCGCAAACTGGCCTCTTTTTTCGATTGACATTTAAAAATAACAATTGTGAAATCGACTTTACTCTGCGCTTAAGCATTTATTTGAAGAATATTATTGTAACATATAAAAGTCACATATAGCGTTCAAAAATAGTTTCTCGGAAATAAATCAAATGATTAATTGTTAAAAATGATAACAGTGTGAGAGCGGATATTTAACTTGCTCTCCTTCTTACGTAATTAATCATTATCGGTAATAAAACAGCGTACTGCACCATGAATTTAGTATAGAGCAATTAAAGTTCGACCATATCGTAACGTGTCCCGTCACAATTACACAGTAGTGTAACATGACAGATGTAACTACATGATAACACCAAAGTATGCAAACTAACAGCAACACTACTCTTCTCATTTTAACACAGAGCAGCCTTTCAGCAACACCATCTTCCTTGCCAGCAATAGAAGAATTACTACAACAGAAAAAACCATGATACTGTCATTTTACGAGTCTCAGCACTCGTCAAATAACTTAGGCAGAATCTCTCGAACACGCCGCCAACAGTGAACTATACACTGCACAAAGGAGTGAGGGTTTCTCGATATACCCTTAATTCCACTTCGCCACCATCGATATAAGGCTCCGCTAGAGTGGTGCAACCTCTCGATCAAACCGGTATTTTATAGACTCGCCGCCAAGTCTTTTTTTTCTCACGCGCAAAACAAACAAAAACAAAAAAACTGCAAAACTTACACTATTTTTAAGATAATTAACTACTATCAAAATTTTTTTAATTTATTTACATACTATTTTCATAACATATAAAAGTGACATAAATGGCGTTAAAAGTCCAAAAATAGCTTATTACGCCCATGCGCAAAAATAGCAATGAGTCTCACCAGTAGGTAAAGATTTGACATTCAAATATATCTATTACAGAGGGTTATTTTACCGAATACCGAAGTTATTACTACGAAAAGTTCAGAGTGGTTTTTCAAATTACCAATATTTCGCGCACTCGTGGTATGACGTCTTTCACTGCTCAGCCATTCACTTACGTACCTACGCAACGGAACAGTTGAACACACTTGTTTTTCCGCAGTTTTTTTTTCTATCTAACGTAAAAGTTTGTAAGAGTTGTTGGAGGCACACTCTAAGGAGGCACAATTTAACAAGGAAGTCTGCTATTAAAAATGTCAAACCTAAAGTGAATGGTTTTATTTTTATGGTAGCATAATATTTCTTAAAAAATAGTGACTGTGTCACTGTGTCAGCAAGGTAAACATTAACTTATAAGTATAAGTAGTAGAAGGTTTGTTAGAAACATTACATGTCATATCGTACCTAAATCATGGCTGATGCAAGAGAGCAAACTAAGGGCCACATTAGTCAAAATGTTTAGTAAGAACTAAACTTGTGTGTAGTAGACGCAACATCTGCGCTTATATCTTCACTCAGAATTTTAAAAAAATATCAAAATAGTGTAAATAGACCAGAAGCTAAAAATAAAAATGTAAATGTAAATATTTTAAATCATTGCAAGTTATACTTACAATCAAAAGGACTTATGCGTATTTATTACTATTCATTATAATTACGGCTTAGGATCGTGCTTTGTGGCATTCCTTGGGGGAGGCCTATGTTCAGCAGTGTACTTATGAAATGCTGTAATGATGATGATGATGATAATTATTTGATGCATGTTTTCATTTCGCAAAGTCAGTCCTTAGTGACTTGGCTTGTGATAAGTAATTTAGTCACTCAATATTTTCTTTTCGGAAGAAACTGAAACACTTCCGAAAATAACTTTACCTAGAATTGCACTGTAATAAAAAAAAACGTGTATTGGCGTGTAAAAATAATTGGGTGTCGTAAGAGGCAACAGTGGGAAACTGAGGCAGAAGATGGGCAGCAGCATCTTTCTGATAACAGCAAGGCAACAATAAAAAACTGCGGTTGCCAACTCGCTCGCCAAGCGTGGCCACTATGGCAATATACACCCCATAATTAAAGTTACGAAGAGACAGCCCTCAGTCCCTGGCAAACCCACTACTCCTGGCTACGGTGGCGACCATGGTAACGGCGGGGCAGGGGGTGCTAAGAATCTCAGATGGAGGTTCGTTTGCCACCTAAGATGACTCGACCTGGCAGCATGTAACACACGCACCCTGAGGATTGACGAGGAGATCCTGGATTCGGAAGAAGAGATAGACAAATTGTGCTGGAATATTATAGGATTATCTGGAGTCCAAAGAGAGGGGGAGAACATGGTAATCCTTGAATCCGGCAACTTGTTCTATCACCGGGAGGGTGACCATCTGTCCCAAGAAGTTGTCGGATTTATAGTCCACAAGTCTGTCTTTAACAACGTTGTAACGACAGTGCGGTCGGAGCTAAGCTCTGCAAGACCCGCCGCAGGAGAACACAAAAACTTTCCGATCACACTCTTAATCTCATGGCTGTTGTTAGAAGGCAGATGAAGCTACATTCTTCAAAATATTTGACAGCATACAGCCAACTGAACAGATAGATCTCCAAATGCATGCGGCGGGACTTAGGCAACTTTAACACAGCTTCAGCGGTGCCAAGATGACTATCGGTTATCCGAGTATAGAACTAGAGTACGAAACCTATCCAGGTGGAGAGAGGTGTAAGACAGGGCGATGTTATATCCCCTTCTTTTCACCACTGCATTGGAAGACGCTTTCAAGCTGCTGGACTGGAAAGGATACGGTATTAACATCAACGGCAGTATATCACTCACCTTAGTTTTGCCGTCGATATTGTCCTTATGGCAGAATCGCTGAAGGACCTAAGCACTATGCTCAATGACCTGAATAGTGCGTCCCAACGGATAGGTCTCAATATGAACATGGACAAAGCGATGATCATGTATAACGTCCATTTCACACCTATGCCGGAAGTTGTTGGGAGTACTAAGCTCGAAGTTGTTGACGAGTATGTTTACCTGGGACAATTAGTCCGACTAGGTAACTCCAACTTCGACCGAGACGTCAATTGGCGGATTCAACTCGGCTGGGAGCGTTCGGGATATTACGGCACATCTTCTCGTCAGGTATACCTTAAAATTTGAAAACGAGACTGTACAACCAGTGCGTGTTGCCAGTGATGACCTATGAAACTTAAACGTGGTCCTTCACTGCTGCCCGGATGAGGAAGCTCAAGGTCACTCAGCGAGCTATGGAGAGGGCTATGCTCGGAGTTTCTCTGCGCGATAAACTTAGAAAGGAGGATATCCGCAGTAGAACCAGAGTGACCGACATAGTCCAACGGATTAGTAAGCTGAATTGGCAATGGGCCGGCCATATAGCTCAAAGAACCGACTACCGATGGGGAAAAAAGGTTCTTGAGTGCCAGCCCCGTACCGGCGGAGGAAGTGTAGGGCGTCCCCCCACTAAATGGAGTGACATCCTGGTAAGACATGCAGGAAGTTGATGTATGCAGGTGACTCAGGATCGTGCTTTGTGGCATTCCTTGGGGGACGCCTGTGTTCAGCAGTGGACTTGTGAGGGCTGTAATGATGATGATGACGAAAGGAAGCAGTTATATACTGAATTCAATTGTTTTTAAAATCAGTGACGTGATGTCTTCTTCGTCACTAGTTACTTTACGTTCCACGAAAACACGTAACCTATAATATTTGTCACCTACGTCTATAATATTTGTCAACCTGTTTAAAAAAAAATTAAGACAGTTGTTTTGTTTCTGATAACGAAATTGTTTTATACATCCGTTCGGTTATTAAATAATGTCCACCGCTAGTGTACAGCTGTCTTTTAATGTGGATTTTAACTGTCCGTGATTGAACCCAACGAGGTTCAGCTTTCATCTGAATCTACCAAAAACTTCGCAAGTTGACGCGCTAGCATATTATGCAGAATTTTTTGAGTAAAATGCACATTAGATTAGGCTGGACTGAACCTTTAATATTTCGACTGAAGAACTCTGTATCTATGGTTATGTAATAAATTTAAAAAAAATGGAAGTAGTCTATGGACGCATCGATATGTCGCGATACTCGTGTTGCCCTTGACTTCGTCTACTTTATTAGTGTTTTTAAAGAATTCTTTTGTGATATTTTTAAATAACTGTATTCAAATAATGAGTAATGTTTCATAAAGTTGTTTTAAAAGTGCTGCAAGTTTAATTTTCTCTGAAGTTGTCTAAATTTTACGTAGCGTCACCTGACCGAACTCATTGTCATTTCCCGCCATTGTGGATATCGAGTAATCTAAATTAGGATTTTTCTGCGATAATTGAAGTGTTTAGATGAAAAACCTATAAATTGTGTTGTTATTTTGGCTGAGTAATGTCATTACTAGGTAATGACGTTTGTCTGTTAGAAATAGAAGACTATAACTTGTACGAAGAAGAAGCTTCGGATCACGCTTTTGCCAGGTAAGAACACCCGGCGTGGCTTTAGGATTCGACAGTAATAAAGCTTGTTAGTGTCGTCTTTTCCAAGTTACGACTGATTCTTTAATTTGTGAAAATTACCATTATATTTAACAATTCTGTCACACTTGCGATTTCGCGGGTTAAGGTCGCTCCCGCCCCTTGCCGGTCTATAGTCAGCTGTTGGGCCGCCATGTTTAGTCAATCAAATCAAATAGGCGTAGTAGGCGCTTGATTTACTAACGCGTTATTTCAACATGTGTTTGTATACCATTGTTGATGATATTTTGACGGGCATAAATTTTGATTTTTGTTAGGTACTTTTATATATTATGTACTTTTGATTTAGTCATACTCTTTAGTCAAGCAATAACATAAAATTATAATTCATTAATTTATCGATATTGTATCATCAATGAAGCATAATATTATTGTATTTAAAATTTCCGCTAAACAACTTCCTTCATTTCTTTTGTTTGTAATATATTTTTACTACATTACATTGTTACGCATTTAAGAATGTAAAATACTATATTAATGATTTAGGTTGATTTTTTTTTTCACTTTTTTAGTTTCACTGTGTTAAACTTACAGTTGATTTGAAGGTTTCAACATTTATTTTTGTAAGTTTAATCCTCAAAAGAAATACCTCAAGTTAATTTGTAAAATTATTTTTTACAGAGTAAATATGTAAATTTACGGTTATTTTGATTTGGACACATTTTTGACGTTTTAATGTGAACTTTACGATCTATAAATGTTTTATGTGATACAATTATGCCATGATTATTTTATTCCTCAAACATGTTTGAAGGTTCAAACATGTGAAGTCCTCAAACACACTGAAGCTTATTTCTTCACAACCCTCTGAGAGGAGGCCTGTTCCCAGCTGTGTGGCGTATGTAGGCTGTAGTAAATTTCTCCACAAAGTACCTATAATTGGACTTTCACACTGCACCTCATGAAGAATTTTTGTATTAAGTTTCCACTTATAAAAGTGCAGGATATATTCCAAGATTGTTGCACAGTTAAATTGTAGGAAAATTGAATGAAATCTGTTAACCATAAATAGGATAGATCCCCAACTTCCATGTGGTACTTGTATATCCTACTCTTAGTGTTTTTAGAAAGCTAGAGTCTGGTTGCACCGAAGCTGTGGAGTAGTCATGGGTCAAAATCAATTCCCGGGCTTGTACATTCATTTCCTTTACATTAAATTTATGGAAAAAGATGATAGGGCCTGTATTTTACAATCTGCAATAAGAATAAGCCTTTGTTATAACAGATTATGTTACCATTTTTTAAAAATACCTCATTTTAATCATTAATCATCAAGTTTTTATTTTTATTTTCAGGAGCGAGAAGAATACTACATCAGGCAGTAAAACAATGGAAGCTGAAAAACGAATTCGACGAGAAATTGCTAATAGCAATGAACGCAGGCGCATGCAGAGTATTAATGCTGGTTTTCAAGCATTACGTACACTTTTACCACGTCATGAAGGGGAGAAGCTCAGCAAGGTTGGTATAAATTTAAGCAAACCTAAACAATCTTGTGTCTGTGTAATTATGTCCTCATGTTTTATCATCTATAGATCAGTGCATAGTACGTTCATATATCATCATACATATAAATAAAAGTGATTGACTGTAATATTGAAGTAGTTGTAATAAGTAGCTGCTATTAAGCTCAGCATTATTTGCATGCTGGAAGGTCACAAATATTTTTTTTTTCTGGCTAATAAATATTTTTTTAATTTAAATATTTTGTCTGTCCATCTGGGCTAGTCTTCGGAACGGCTGAGCTAATTGTTATGAAACTTCACAAAGAAATAGAATGCAATGTCAGGGGTGATCTAGGGACTGTTTTATTAGAAAAATATTCAAGAATTTATTGACAAATTGAAAACGGAATATAAAATGGTTTTTGAATATTATCTCATAAACTATACCAGATATTAAAACTATTTGTCCAAAGATTGCTATTTTTTGATCTACAGTTATTTTGTTTAAGTTCCAAGTGGACAATATATATGATTTAGTTTTGTAGCTTAGTGTAGAGGATTGTGATTTAAAGCTGTTAACAATATTTTATGATAAAGCTGTATTATATGTATTTATGTATGTATATAATTGATAATAATTCTCATACACTTATGTTTTCATTACAGGCAGCAATTTTGCAACAAACAGCTGAATATATTTATTCCTTGGAACAAGAAAAAACAAGATTACTTTCACAAAATTGTCAATTAAAAAGATTGCTAAATCAACATGAAGGAGGTGAGATACCACTGAAGAAAAGAAAGAGTGAAATTATTTCTCATGTGTCTTCAATAATTCCTGACTCAACAGATGATACAGTGTCAAAGTCAAGATCACCTGAACCAGTTGCTTATATTTCTGTTTCAACTGGGCCCCAAAAGAAAGAGACTGAAAGTACTGAACTTAGAACACAACTGGAACAAGAGCGCCGTTTGCGGCGACTACTTGAAGAACGTTTACACTCACTAGAAACACAGTTATACCCTGAAACAGGCAGAGACATAGCCCCCCCAGTTGTTCACTATGAACAAACTGATATTGCTTTATGTAAGGTGGAGAGTGATGAAGTTGAGACACCAGTAACTGAAGCCCCAGCAGCACCTTTGTTAGAAGCGGCCATTAAAGCAGAACCTAGAGTGGAGGTAGAGGTGTTGCCTGATGCAACACATGACACTTCTTCACGATTATATTTAGCCAGTACAAGTCGCCAAAATTTGGAGACAATTGTAGAGGCTATTCGTCATTTAGAAGGAGATCACTTATTCCGTGAGGAGGCCGGCGATGCTCCTTTAGCGTTGACAAAGAAGGTAGACCGAGCGCCACCTCCACCACGACCTGGTGTCATTGTAGTGAAGCATTCGTGATTGTGTTGAACTAGTCAAACTCTAAGCTCGAGAATATGTTTCTGATAGACGAGCACTCCCTGACCCTCCTCGAATATAGCTTTTAAATTTTTAGTTGTTAAATTGTCTTTTCCAAAGTGACGAATTGATAAGTCTGCTTTTTTTTGTATTTTTTTACACAATTGATGTCAAGGATGGACATAGTGATTTAAAGAATGGATAAATTGTGACAGTTGACAGTCGGCACTGTGCTTAGCTTAGTCTCAAATGTTATGTATAACTATTGTAATTTAAAACTTTAATTTACTGTGGCTTACTGCGAAGTTATGATGGAATTTGTAATGACTGACTTACATAGGATTAGGATGAAAGAATAAATTATTCAAAATGCCGCGTGCCAATATCTGTTTCATGATATCTTGAAATTTGTGGTAGGTAGATGAAATTTTAAGAGGAACTGTGTGTAATCAAACTGATGTTTTGAATAATTTACACCTGTTGAAAAGAGTTTAATATTACCCATCATGGAAGCAATAAGCAAAATTGAGATTGGGCTTGTGAGTCGTTTATCATCTTTCAGCAATACTACAAATCGAGAATTAAGAATTCTGGATTTTAAATATAAAATAAAACATGTAGATTTGTGTAATGGTATGCGGCTAGGTGCGTGCGATGTTTGTGTTTGTAATTACTCATTTGAAAATAATGTAGTGTAAAAATTATGTTTTCCTATTTAATAGTTTGAAATATTACTCCGAAAGACTGCAAAATGTTTTTTGACATTAAAATATCTGAAAGCATTTTATTGATTTCATTTTTGAGAGATTAGTTTTTATGAGTACTATTTCAACTTTTAAATTTATCTACTATTCATTCTATACAATTTTTGTATGTATATTGAATGCTCTATAGATTCTATATGTGGGCTACATATAGTACATAATAATAATTACCAACATTAAAATTATATAACATTATTTCTTAAGTGTCATTTATATGTATAATAATAAATATGATATCAAGAAGAGAAATAAAATATTCTGCTGGAAATTCTAAAGTTAAATTATTGAAAGTTAGTTTCAAAATATTAGTCCAGTGTAGTTTTGTTTTTTTTAAGTGTCAGTGCTTATTTTGTAGTAGATTCTAGTGGTTTTTAATGAGTGCTTTGAGTACACAAACTCTCAGTAAATTGGGTCAGATATTTTAGAGCATTCCATATGTTCGAATCTCTTCGAGCATAGTCACTATAATACTGATCAGTGTAGTTTAATTGAAGCATGATTTGTATGTTGTATTCAATTAAACAAGTTATTTTGCTTTCTGTAAGCATCATAACCTTAACCATTGTTTAGGACTGTTACTAAATAGCTCTTGCAGTCTACGATTGAAATCTTACTACAAATGAAATTGCAAGATTTGGTGTCCTAATTATTATTACCCAATAAAATATATTATACAACAATGAATCTGAAAAATTTAGCGAAGTATTTGCTATTGAGCAGCTATATGCTTCATGGTTTAAGAGTTACTGGGGCAGATATGTGAGCACATTTTTTGCCTCAGTGTATTTAAATTTAGCTTTGATATTATCAATTTATAGTCAAATCTACAGTTTTTATGGTGATTTGATCATCGACATTAAAATTGAATATTTCGTGAAAACTTTTCAATACTTCTACTAGATTTAAGACACATGGATGACAGTTCCATGATTAGGTAAAACAGTAAAATTAATTATTGTTCGCTTCAACTAGCTGACATTTATTTTGTTAAAATTTAACCAGCAGTGCTTTTGTTAATATTTTCTTTTGTAAGTTTTGAAACTTTGTTTAGTTATGACTCGGCAACAGAGTGAAGGACAATGTATAAAAGCGAAAATAGTGCCGTGGTCCTATTTAAGGATCATAAGAATTTATTAAGACTGATCATTAATTCATTATTAATTTATGCTAGTTTGAGCCACCATATTGGTAGTGTTTAGTATGTGTGCGTGTATGTGTGTTTTGGTTATGTAGTCATTTATGTGGATGTATGATATAGTAATATATATATTATGTGTATTAGGTGTTGTCAATCCGATAGTTTTACAGAGATTCCAAATTTAACATTTAGCAATAATTAAAGTCAATCACTATTATTATTGTGAATTACTTGGGTGTTTGTAATGAAGATTAAATACTATGGAATCTCTCTAATTCTGTTGGATATTATGTTATGTTGACTGTGTAGTTCTATGATGTGATTTATGTTATTTATTTCTTGCATTTGTTCTAATATGATCCTCTACGTAAACTTCAGTCAGTAATACACAATTTAACTTTTGATGGCCCAAATGCTTACACATGAGTATTACCATATAAATTGAATAAATTAATCTATTATTTCTATGAAATGACGATTTAAAATAATTGCTAGGTATACATCTGTACAACATTAGTTGTCATGTTTTTTTTATTATACATGTTTTAATATTACACAAGTTCATAAATGTGCTATAAAATAAAAAAAAAACAGTGTATTTCTGATATATAAGAATCTTATGCCTACACTTCTAGCTCTTTATCACACTCTGTTTCTGAGTCCATAGTTTTAAGAAGTTGTCTGCCTACCGCCTTTTACATTACGTCAGTATAGGATAATTATTAACAATGTAATATAACGGACTTGGTTATACTATTAGTGTAGTCAAAATATCTAGAACATAAGAGATTTTAAGTCAAAGAAAGCAAGTTAAATTGTTTAAAATGTGTTATTATTTATGTCTTAAAGTATTAAAATGGTTATTTCTTATTAATTAGTTTGTAAATGACAATTATCAGTATGTTCATTAAAGCTTTTGATCTTCACATAAAACTAAAACCAATAAAACTCCCTAGAAAAAGCACGATATTTTTTAAATACACTAATTCTTATGGACATTTTAAGTTTGTAAAAAAATATATTGTGAGTGAACTAAGTGAAAAACCTTTCTCATCCTCATAAGTTAGTTTTTTTTTTGTGACGAGGGAGATTTGATTGGACCTGTATCTGTACATAATATGTACATCTTTATAATAACATTTTAAATATTTCCATGTTTTGCAATTTCAATAATAATTGTGTGGATTTCTGAACAGATCCATAAATGTACGTATTGTTTTATTGGTTTTAAGTGCCAGTGAATGTGAATATGTAATTAGATTTTCTACACTCTATCGCAATGTTTATCAAAGTTCAAAGACTTGATGTCACGGATGAAGGATCTTCCTACAGTAACATTGTTTTGAATTTTAATTAAGTTTGGTCCAAATGTAATTAAGAAGCTCTTAGATTCCGTTTAGTGAGTCTATAATTAGAGGTAGGGTGAACATTTAGTCTGCACTAAATTTTTTATGGAAATGTTATGCATTTTTTTTTTTTTACTTTCACCCGATCACTAACAGACTCAAGTTCCTATACACGATAGTTATGATGTAATTTTTTACAGTTCTTAATTAAGATAATGATAAAGTGTAGAAATCACTGCAAGGATTTTTCCTTTTTGATATGATATGACGTTGATAAAATATATTTCCTCTCATTTTTAATTGTACCACATTTGACCTACATTTGCGAATATTTATAAAATATTGATATTTCAGTGTTTCATTTGTTGTTCCCTTTTTTCCGAAAATCAGTGAAATATTATACTAAAGACCAAATAGATGTATTCAGGGCCGATTAGTTTGGAGGCCTTGAGGCAACCAAGTAGAAGCCCCGAAAAAAATTTGAAACAGAATTTGTTTTTAGTTTTAAACTGAGTTATACGTACTAGAGGAGCCATTCCAAACAAAAAATGTGCGCTACTCTGTCTTCGCGTATGCGCGGTAGATAGTAAAATATTACGATATTATTACCTATTTATTAACTTTAACAACAAATAATTTTAGTTACTAGACTCCTGAATTGTTATTTACGTCCAGGTTTAAACTTTAATTTGAAATATATTATTAGCGCCGCTCCACTGCATGAATATTGAAGCCACACTAAAGTAAGGTTTACGGATTGCAGTACAGTTCAGTTGAACATAGTGAATGTTCGGAATGCGAAATCTAGTTCGTAGTGCATATATATCGATGGTTTTAAATCATTAATACACTACCATTGATATATAAAAGAAAAAAAAAGATATACGTTAAGAAAATAGAACTGCGAGCTTTAATTGTAGAAAAATCTATACTAATAGTACTAGCTGGCCAGGCAGATGTTCTGCCCTTTTCGACGACCCTTCATATAAAAAATCCTTAAATTCGTAATAAAAAAATATTGAGTGTCACTTATCAGGATAAAAACTATCTTATTTCTCAAGTTGGACCAAACTGCACAGTGTGCAAAATTTCATTGAAAATTGAAATCAGTTCAGTAGTTCATCGCGGACAAACAACGTGACACGTAATTTTTATATATAAAAATAATAAAGCGGAAGAGTTTTTTGTTTGTTCAAACACGCTAATCTTGAAAAATTCTTTTTTTATATTATAGAACGAATACTTTTGTTTTGTCTATTAAATTATAAAATAAATATAACATTTTAAAATATTTTTTTTATAGGATAAGGGTGACAAACGAGCACACAGTCCACCTGATGGTAAGTGGTTGCTGCGGCCCATAGATATCTACATCAATCCTCTAGTACAAATCAAAATGTAGATGCGTTGTCACCCGTGAGGACTAAGATGGATTGCCTCATTTCCAGTAAAAAGGGCCTCCGGCCACCTGCACTCACCAAGCGAAACGCAGAGGTAAACCACTAACTTCACGCTGGTTTTCTGTGAAGTCGTGGTACCATCCCGGTTCGAGCCGGCCCATCCGTGCGACAGCAAAAGCTGCCGCGTTGCTCTACCACTGTTAAAAAAATTCGAAATTGATACGAATTCCATATTCTAAAATAAATATCCATAAGTATATCGCGATTAAAAATATCGATGACTAGCTTTTTACCCGCGGCTTCGCTCGCGTGCGCTTGAATTTAGGAACATCATCTTGGTGTCAGAGTCACCTTG